AACCAGTGAAATCAACACACATTGATTTTGGTGCTTATTATGGGCACAGCTCTTTGCTGGACCACAAGGGGCAAAGGAGTAGAGGTACTTTCAATGTACCCTCATGCAACTTATGATCTAGTTGATGTGCAATTAACACAATTAGTCAGGCTCTCTGGAATCCACAGTCTAAGCATGTCATGCCTTTTAGGAGGGCAGAGAAGTTCTCTGCTGTAAAGTGCTAAGGAGGTGAAGTTTGAGCTAACTCTTCTTTAGTGGGAATGTGGGATAACCAATGGGAGCCATTCACATCAAAGAAAAAAGCCTGGACACAGGTACAGCCAAAGAATTCCTGAATACCCCATGCCACAGACATGTGTGCTAATGTGGCTGTCCACTTGGGATATCTTTAATGAATTCTCCTTGTTTGTCTCTTGGAGCTGTCTCTGAATTGCTGTTGTTGGCTAATTCTTCTCACCTGTAGAAGTTAGCTATAGACAGATTTTTTTTCCTTGCCCTAGATAGTCAATAATTTGATCTTTACTGATGGAGGACCCATTTATCACAGTAGCCATCCTTTCACTATACATATTGACTTTTCCTTATCAATACCACAGTCCATTTGTAGCTCATCACTAAAGTTCTTGGGTGTTTTCGTTAGTTTTTGAAGGTGCTTTTCAGAGCTTGGCAGAGAGATGCTTTTGACATCAATACAGTGCAAATGGTAGCTAGACTCATCCTCAGCTTAACATCAGCTGTTTATTGCCTCTAGAATGGATTGTGAAGCTGTCTATGTCTGGAGGGCTGGGTCCCCAAAAGACACACTCTTCTAGACAGATCTCCACTAAAAGACGGAAGTCTGTTCCAGCCACCGACAGATAGAAGGCTGTTCCATTTACTCACTACACACTTTAAAATATTGACAGCCAAAAGGCTGATGCTCTGAATATCTTTTCAATATCTCCAGTCAATAGATAGAAGAGGAGTCTGTGCTGGACATGAATGTGTGGGACTATGGAACCTCTAATGAGTTTAACTCTAGGTCCTAAGAAATGAAAGGTTCCGGCAAAGACAATAGAATCTCTCTCTCTCTCTCTCTCTCTCTCTCTCTCTCTCTCTCT